AGCCAAGACAAGTTATTTTGTACAGACCAAAGTTCACTTGACTAAAACACAGCCAAGACAAGTTATTTTGTACAGACCAAAGTTCACTTGACTAAAACACAGCCAAGACAAGTTACTTTGTAACTAGACCAAAGTTCACTTTACTAAAACACAGCCAAGACAAGTTATTTTGTACAGACCAAAGTTCACTTGACTAAAACACAGCCAAGACAAGTTACTTTGTACAGATCAAAGGTCACCTTTATGTTATTTAATACTGTAACATGAGCTGCATCATTGTAACATCTGTATTGTTAGCCAAGCACGGGTGAAAGGTCAATATAAAAAAATAATAAATATATATAAATGTATAATGCTTTGAGATTTAAGCTATTTCGTCTAAACATGTGTTTTCGTGTTATAATTTGTGTTCATTCTGGAATTAAAGATTCATAATTTATATTTATTTCCTAATTTTTTATGGTGGTTGTGAGATTGGTCAAATTTACTGAACCTGTACAGAGATTAATTACCAAAAATAACAGATAAAATATAAAGTTTATTCTTAAGAAACATTTGATAACTATTTGGACATTATAAAGATTTTGCATATGAAATTTCGAAATTTTCTGAGGCATAAAAGTGTTTTTAATGTTGAGATGAAAATTACTTTGCATGACAGATAGGCAAGATGTAAAAAGAAAAAAAATGTATGAGAGAAACATTGCTTTACAAACCTTCAACCTAATAAAAAAGTTAGATATTTTGCATATGAAAGCATTGTAATGTTTACTGATAAACTGCCAAATTTCATTAACATTCGCTTACTAATTTAAAAGTTATAGCATGAAAACTATAAGAAGCACAAAATATTTTTGAGGTTGGTTCCATGGACCGAGCCTGGGTTGAAAGAGTTAATCAAGGCAATAATAAAAGCTGAGTTATAAAATTTGATTCATGTTTTAGTTATTTCACTCACTTCTTTTATATTAACTGTAAATTTTTGAAAGTTATGAATTAAAAATTTTTTCAACATAATGAAGTTCAAATAAAAATGTTTATGAAAAAAACTCAAGTTTGTGTAAAATTGGTAGTTTAGTCTACATTTAAGTACATTAACTAGTGCTATGTATTTCATTGTTATATACAGTACATTTTCCATTATACAATTGTTGTTTTGTTTACAGCATATGTCAAGTATATTGACTAAACCTGAGTTGATGGCTGTCTCTAATCAAAAACCATATTGAATCTAACAGTGTATACATTTTAATGTGAATATAATTTAGCCTTTCCTGAAACAATTCTAAGAATTTATAGAGAAAGAATAAGTTTCTTAGATTTTAAATGGATTGTACTAGGATATATTTTTCCAAATGCATATTTTATTACTTTTTTGGATATGATGTAAATTGTGCTGATTGAAAATGTAACTTTGAGTTTGAATGCTGTATGAATTTTGTGAGAAACCCTAGATAGAGTTCAGTGATGCTTTAGTAAACTAATACCTTTGTGTCAGTAAAATATTAAATAAAAAATGTAGAAAATTCTGCAGTTTTTGTCACAGAAAAGTGAGAAACTAAGAAAAGAAACATAACTTGTTGGAACATCTGGGATACAGGATTGTTTGTTATTTTATTTTTTTCCTAGTTTTTCCAATTTTAATAATCCATTTTGCTGTGTTTGTATCATACCTTATTATGTTAAGAATACTGTATTTGTTCACACTTATTTAATCCTATATGCATGGGTGGGGATTCAAGTGCATATTCCATAATACATCACAGAGTGCTAGTCAACATAATATTATTTATTTGATGTCAGAGTTATCAAATATTCATTTGACCCTACGTTCTTGATTTAGCAACATTTCTTTGTAGAAGAGAGTAAATACCAGATACAGGATTTTTTGTTTGTTTGTTCTATTATCTTTTTTTATAGTTTTTAGTTTTTCCATTTCGTAATTAAGAAGTTAATTCATAAAAACTACTAATCTTCATTTCACTATATATTGTATTTTTTTAAGAGATAATTTGTCCTGTGTGATTTTAAAAAGTGTAATGTTATGCAACTTGTGCATTAATTACATGTACTTAAATTAGGAAAAGGTGAATTACTTGTGGCAGAGAAAGCCAAATGTAGCAGCATAGCATATTCTTTGTATTTTTATTCAGTGTTTTTCTTACTAAAATATTAATTACTGTTTGGAATATGATATTTTTGTTATAATCTGTGGGTGTTAGAACTGTACATGTTATATAAAATTACTGGAATTATTTCACTTATATTCCACTTTTTAATTATGAATCATTTGTATCACTTATTTCTACTTAATTTTTCAGTTGTACTTGTATATTTCTCTAGGCTTCTAGATTTATATTTTATTAATTGTTTTTTTATGTGGTTAAGACTAAAAGTGATTAATCACAAAATCTATTAAGTTTACAATATTCTTTGTTTATAAGTTTTTCAGTCTTTTCTTATTGTGAGGCTGGGCATAGTCTAGTGGTTAGTGTGTTGCACTGTGAATCTGAGGGTCCATGGTACATGTCCTTTTGCTGCAAAAATGCATTCTCCTCTTTAGGGCTTTGGGGGAATTATGAAATTGACAGTCAAGTTCTATTCTTCGATTAGAGTTGGTTATGTGTGCTTTTGACTAGCTGCATTCCTTCTGTTTTGCTGATTCACTATTAGGGTTAACTAATACAGATAGCTCTTGTGTAGTTTGGAAGTTTTTGAAACAAAGTTTAAAAGAAGAAAAACAACACTATAAAAATAAAGAAACAGTTGTAACTTACATTAAATTTTAGCTTGCTGATTCACACCAAAAGTGGGAGAATCATAAATAAGCACTCACTTTTAGGAATTTTGAATTAAAGTTTTAACTTTTTTTTATACTTGCATTTGTCCTTGTAAGTGAAGGTAATTGCATTCTTTGATGAATCACACACATATGTAATGAAGCAGCAATTAGTGAATCTTGCTATTAAGCAGACAATTCAAATGTACTAAACTTCATTACTTATGTAGTGTCTTATGTAAACTGAAGAATAACACACACACATATACTGGAGAATGATACGCTGTTTTCTTTTTAGAGCTACAACTGAGTCCTCAACAACACCCCTTTCGAATTAGAAATTTATGGCCTAGCTTGTTGGAAAAATATACAGCAGCGTATAAAAACAAAGGTAATGAATCAGAATTCAAGTTTATTTGTTATCTGAAAATTTGTTTATTTTAACAGCAATAAAGATTGTTGGCAGGTTCAAATTAACAAGTGAAGATGAGACTCATATCTGGTGACACGAGATAATTTCATTGTCAAAACAAAATTTTTAGTTATTCAAAGTATTACATTGTATTGAAATGTAATGAAAAATTAAGAATTTTTCAAATTGTAAAACACTGTCAACATTTCTGACCATACATTTGAACTAAAAAAAAAATTTAGGTAAGAAGAGTTGTTGATGTCATATGTATTCAGTAAAATGAGGCTTAGTTCTGATGTTAACTTACAAAAGAAGATGTGGTAACAGATATTTATTGTTATGAAGTAAGGTACAGACTGGAGGTTATAAATCATTAGTGTCAAAAATATGACCACAGCTACAAAATAAAAGGTTTATTGGAGCCCAGTGTTTGAGCTTAAACTTTGATCTATTGGCACTATATTGAACATTTGAATGTCACATTACAGAAAGGAACAGTATGAAACAATAAACAGTACACCTATCACACAATGATATATTATTTAATACTGTTTTTAAAAAAATACTAAGAAGCACAGGCATAGAAATGAAATACAATGACTAAACATTAAGTGACCAAATATAGTTTGAGTAGAAATATATATTTATAATTTGAATTAAACAAAATTCATTTTCAAGTTTTTTTTTAAAGGCCCCTCACAAGTCAGTGAGGGAAATATTTGTTGAAAAAAAAACAACAGCTACCCAATCCAGTTTTTCTTAGAGACATGTTATTTAGACATATTTATTGGCTAAAAAAAAAGCATTTCCTGCACTCTTTTAGCATTGGGGGTGCAAAAAGTGATTTAAAGTGGTAAGGTGACTGAAATCCGTCAGTGCATCGCACGCTTAACAGCCTAGCACAAGAAGCATGGAAGTATCCAAATGACATGCAGAGGTAGATAGTGTGTAGCAAGTTGAGTACAGTATTATGCCTATAGCTGCTTTCAAAGTGTTCCTGTCTGCTCATCCTACTGCTGACTATCATGATGCTTCAACCTTCCCTACTAAATCACAGGTGAAATCATTCATATCTCAGTTGAAAGCTAAACATAAAAAGGTGATAGTTGAAGCATAAAAGGTTGGCAATTGCTTAATTAATGATGCTTAGTATGCGGCTTTATTGATATATATACTGAATTTACTCCCATCGAGTAGACCTTAGTACTAGCTAGTATGGAGACTTGAGGATGCTGTATTTCACTTAAAAATTTATCAGTTAACAAACAAAAACAAAGATGCATCCAAAACCACCCTTTTTGGAAGTTTCTGGATCGAACTTACTTTTAATATTCAAGAAATTGTAGTGTAAAGACACCCCTTGGCTCCTGAGGGACATGTTAAAATATTTTTTTATCCGAAGTTAATTTTCATAAATATAACTATTTTTTATACCAAATTTTTTCGTATAATTATTGTACTGTGTTTACTGAACTCGAGTGCACTCTTTTTACACTTAAAACTTGAATTTGTTGACCATATTCCAATGGTAACTGTTGTATAAAAGATATAAAACATACATTAATAAAACAGGTTTAACTGTATACAATAGTTATAAACATTTTAATTATTTTCTTGATTTAAGTGTATTGTTTTCTGTATAAAATGAAATAATTAAAGCAAAGTTGAATTGAATAAACTAGCTGTTGTATAACTGTAGAAAAATCTATTTGAGATATGAGCTTATTTATGTTGTAGTAGTTATGGTATTTTAAATAGTTGACACTAATACCGAATATTTTTTACTTTCAGATGAACCTGTCCTGTCCTTTCAAAGAAATGTTTTTTTTGATAAGAGAGAAGAAATCAGGGTTAGTGTTGAAATAAGGTTACTTGTACTATAGTGACTTGGCAGGTTGAATTTTTGTTTTGGTTGCAGAATCAGATAATTATTCTTCCCAGTATAAAACTACAACTAGTTATTGTTTATCATTATAGTTATAAAGAAAAAATAATAATATTAAGCCTTCAAAACAGTGTAATAATACGAGATGAATATACCAGGAAAAGACTAATTTGATTTGGTAAAGTGCAAATAAAGAAGTGTAGCATATAGTTCTTAGCTTTATGGTTTGGTATTCAGAGTGAAAATATATGTTAGTGTTAAAGTGATAGATAAATAATGAAAAAACATATTGTAAAAGTGTAACTTAAGTTTCTAACATTCATTAAGGTCTTCTATGCAGTGATAGACTATCATATTCTTTGTAATGCCTACTTAAAAAGTGCTGTAATTTTTCAAATAGGACATTATTAAAGCTAGTCTTGAATGTTTCAAACTTACAAAATGTGATTTATGGCAAAAGTACATAATGATGTGAGGAATTTTATAGGTACATGGCTCTTGATACTGCACTATCAAATGTAGTTCTCAGTCTGTAGGTTGAAAGTTTTTTGTTTGAGGTTTGATAATCATGAACCATGATAGTGGTTCATAATAGGGATTGCAAGGAATTGCACAAAACCTTAATAGAATGTTTGGGCAAAAAGCACCTTAAACAGTAAAGATTTGGTTCAAACAAAACTTTAAAACCTTTAATATTGACTGCTAAGGCTGTACACATATAAAAATAAACAAAAAAGCATGCATGTAAGATTTATAAGGAAAAGAAAATCATCTCAAAATGGCTTGTTTGTAATTATTATTATTCACTTGCCAGTCTACAACAAAATTATTTTGGTATATTACACCGAATCTATTCATAGAATACTAAATAAGGTACTGTGAATGTCATAGGGGTATTGAAAAGTCGATTTGTTTCTTCTATATTTTACATAAGCTAAAAAAATCATACTTCTAGTGTAAATGATGTTATCATTACCCTTTAAAGTTAGCTTTGTGACAAACTTCTGGTGTTCTTTTAAGAAGCTTAAGTGCATGGTGAAACAGGAATTACCAGCAAATAATGGATGAACATTAGATGACTATAACATGTAGATACACAATAGTTTGTAAACTGTACAATTGGTGTCTTTAGGGAGGAGCCAACCCCTATGTTATGTATTAAGGGAAGGAGTAAAAAAAAAATCAATAGATATAATACTAAACTTTATTACATACATTCATAAAATAATTACTTTAAAATACATGAATGTTTATTTCAAGTGATGTTTTAGATGTATATGTGTTATTTGAAAAGGCTGCTTTTCTACTGGTAAAATTTTATACGTGATTTATGGGGGTTGTGTCTTAGTCAAGACATATATTTGCCCATTGCTATGCATTATATATGGAGAATTTAGTTACACAGAAACTATAAATGCTCATTATATACTTAAAAAAATCTCTAGCTGCAGCTTGACATTTTACATCTCAAACTAATGTGATCAAGTAGTCAGTAGCTACAGTAAATCATCATGAATTGTATCAGCTAGCTACTAGCTATGTTTATTGTCATTACAATGTATAGAGTTAGCTACCATATCAAGTAATCCTTTGCCCATAGTTGAGCATAAATAAAGCCAGATAAATAAGATAAAATAAAAAATTGGGAATTTGAAAACTTACAAATAAGAATCATAAATTAAAAAGTAAGGAAACGAGGCTGGAGATACTGTAGACATTATTTACTCAAACTACAAATCCCTATTTTGACTCCACCAAATGTAATTCTAGATAACAGCATGGAGCCAAAATAGGGGTTTATAGTTTGAATAAATAATGTCTACACTATCTTCAGCCTTGTTTCCTTACTTTTTCTATGAACTCTAGTTGCAGGTTTTTAATTTTTCAATTTTTTATTTATTATACTATAATTCAGTTCTGTGACAGTTTAATGTACTTTCTTTTATATTATGTTAAATATAGTTATTCTTACATCCATATATTTATAGATCAGTGACATGAAAGTCCTGGAGCTCCTTTATGAAGAAGCCAAGTGGAATATTTTAGATGGACGATATCCCTGTGAGCCTGATGATTGTGATGTGTTGGGAGGAATTCAGGCACGACTAGAGCTAGGCCCTTGTGATTCGGAGAAACACTCTCCTGAGTTTTTCAAGTAAGTGTTTCATACTTTTGAATGCTAAAAGGTTTTTTTATTGTTTTGTTTTATATTTGAAACTATTTTCAACTTTCGTTTTAAAGGTAAATATATGTGTGAGAAAAAGTGAACATAAAACCTGAGACAAATTAATTATTTTTTGTCAAATAAAAATATGTATGTTTTCCTTTAATAGATTTTTGTTAGTGTTCTTGCAAATGTACATTTCTGAAATAGTACAATCTCCTCTCACCCAAAGCTATCTCAACCTTGATTTGCCCTCTAAACATTTCTAAAAAAGTTTTTGCTAATAGCACACCAGTCTATTATACCCTTTATTTTTTGCACTATTTCAGAACATGTGCATAGCATGTAACTACCATCCACCAATCATACTAGCGCAAGTAGCCCTCTCTACTATTGTACCACAATCCACACTTTCTTGAAGGCCATTACAGTTTATAGATGTGTGTTTACTTTGCTCCATGTGCTTGCTTTTTCGTTGTGATTGCGTTTCAGTCCTTCACTAGTTTAAAGTGTTTGTTTTCAAATTTTAGTATTGTTTTTTTTGAAGAATTCTTCCATAATTTGAATTCAAATTCAAAATATAAATTCAAATTTTACGATGGCAGATGACACAGTTCCCAAAACTATTGAGGATTGTAATGTCACTAGTCCCCAGCAAGGTAGGTTGATGATATCAACCGAGGAAGTTCAAACCTTAATTCACGGGTAGTTAGATACTTTTGTTTGGCAGTCAGTTCATTCTCCCTTTCTCCCTGTACAAGCTTCTGAGGAAGAATTTATTCAGGGTGAAGATAGTTTGGACTCTATTTTTCTGGCCCCAGGCTTTTTTGGTCAGTTCTTTAGTCCTGACAGTCAGGAGAGTTTGCTGACCTTGCTGTTCCTACACCTTACTGATCAGGTATTTCAAAGTATAAATGTTTCACCCTTAGCCCTCGATTCCTCTCTCACCTTGTTGTGTGAAAAACCTCGTAGGATTATTATTATTTTCCTCCCTCACCCGACATTCGAGTTCAGGCTCAATGTTTTGCTAATCAATTGCTGTCGGGTGCAGGTATACTCCGTCCTCCCCGATTGATGGACCAATTTTTTTGGCTTACCTGTTTTGGATTCTCAATGTCTGGATCCTCTCCTCCCCTTGTGGGGCTTGAATCTGGGGGCTTTGATCCACTTTAATCAATCTAAGTTTTCTAGGACTCATCTTGCCCTGACCACCCTTCTGTGTATTACTTCCTCATTACAGTTGTTGTCTTAAGCCTTTTGCCAGTTACCTGATCAGTTTTCTGATGAACTCAGGACCCTCCTGTTGTCTACTCTGGCCCATTTATTGGCATCTGTGCTGTCCCTCAACATCTGGTTATTATATTGTTGGGATTTGCTGAGGTGAGATGCATTACCCAAGGGGGTGCATCTTCCCCTGTCTTTGAAAAATCTTCATCAGGCCCTGTTTCTGCATGAAATGGTTTTGGGGGTCATCCTGAGTCTTTGGAGTTTAGGTTTGATGTGGTGAGGCTACATTCCTTCTTGTCCCCCATGGCATCTCATTTGGCTCCTCCGACTGTACCTGCCCAAGATTCACCTGTTTGAATTCCCCTTGCCCCTTCTTCCTCTCCCCGTCTCTTACCCTGTTCCAGGTGTTTCCATCCTTACCCTCCTTTTTTTGTTTCTGTTACTCCAGGGGTCAATGGTGTAGGTGATGGAATGTATTTTCTTGGGCAGGTGGGGACAAGTTGTAACAGTTCTCAACCATTTGGCATATCTTCGTGATGGATCCGTGGGTTCTATCAGAAGGTCTTTGCCTTCAATTCAGGTCCTGTTCCTCCCCTATCCTCTTCCTCTGTTTTTTTCCTCCCTCCTCAGGATTGTGCCTCATCCAGTTATCTCTCCGAGTCAGTTTGGGATTCCTACACAAAGGAGTTATCAAACTGGTCATGCTCACTCGTATGGGATTTTACTCTGTCTATTTGTTGTCTCATAAAAAGATAGTAGATTGGAAACCCATTATAGATATATCTCTGCTGAATACCTTTCTGGAGACACCCTGGTTCACCATTGAGTCCTACCTCTCCCTTCAGTGGGTTTTTTCTATGTGACTCTGGATGACCAAGTTTGATGCAACAGATGCCTGTTTCCATATTCCCATAGCAGCAGGATCACGTTGTTTTCTTAGGTTCGCCCATGAGGGCTATGTTTTATAGTTCCTTGCACTGCCGTTTTGTCTGGCTTCAGCTCCTTATGTTTTCTGTCCAGTGATCCCCTCCTTTGCTCCTCAACTTCATTTGCTGGGACTTTGGACTCATCATTACATGGATTACTGCCTCTTCCTAGGCTCAATCAGTCTCTCACACTTCATTACTTATTCGAGAAGCTGCTTAGGTGGGGTTTCTTTATGGGGTTTCAAGTTGGAGAATTACCTTCTAACCTCTACACAATATATCTTATTCATTTAGAGGTTCTCATCAATTCCCATTTCAGTCGGGCCCAGCCTTCTCCACTTCAGCTGATGGATATGAAGTGGGCAGTCATGAATTCATTCACCTTCTCTCACTGTGCAAGAGGTTCTGTCTCTATTGTGGAACTGGGCTTCCTTGAAAGCTCTCATTCCCATGGGTAGGGTGCTTATTGACCAGTGGAATTTTTCCCAGGATCCATTGGATCATCCTTTTGCCATCCCTCCTAGGGTCCGGGCTGACCTTGCATGGTGGCTTGACAGAGAAATGACCACAGTGGGGGTTCCCATTCCTCCACCTTGTCCTGATACTCACCTGTTCACAGATGCTTCCTTGATAGGTTGGGGAGCTTCCCTCGAATCCAGGGAAATTTTGAGGCAGTGATCAGTCATGGAAACTACATTCCATATCAACCTCCTTGAACTTTTGGCTGTTAATCAGGTTATGTCTCAGTTCCTTCCACTTCTCTGGGGGTGGGTGGTGATGACTCATTTCAACAATTCCAGTGTCATCAGCTATATCACCAAACAAGGAGGAACCAGTTCCTGGTCTCTGTATTTTCAGACACTCAATCTTCTGTACTGGGCCCACAATTACAATTTAACCATCTCATGTTTCTGGAATTATGAATCTGGTGGCAGACGGTTTGTCTTGTTCTAATCAGGTTTTGCCTATGAAGTGATTCTTTCATCCTTAAGTATTTCAGTGGGTGTGTTCTCACCTAGGAACACCACATACAGATGTGTTTGCCACTCACTGGAATGCCAAATTACCTTCCTTTTGATCTACTGTTTCACACTCCTCAGCTCTAGGGGGTGGATGCATTCAGTCAGGATTGGAGGGGGCCTTCATCTATATGCCTACCCTTCACTCAGACTAATCTCTAGGGTCATTTCCATCATCCAGACCACTCCTTGTCATGTTTTCCTAATTACTCCATATTGGCTGACTCAGATGTGATTCCCTCTACACTGGCCTTTAATGGAGCAGCAGCCCCTGCCCTTACCACTGTCCAGGTTGCTCCAGACATCATCAAACTTCATCTTCATGTGTGGCATTTGTCCAGTCCCTCACCTCAGCTCAGGGACTCACTCCTCGTTTAATGTCTTTCCTTATCCATACCATTTGACCTTCCTCATTGTTCATGTACCAGAGATATTGGTCTACCTTCAGACAATGGTTCTTTCACCGTGGCATCCATCCTTCTGTTCCTTTTCTATCCCAATTCTTTTTCTGGTTGTTTGATCAGGGTTTGTCTTGTTTCAATGGTTGCTAGTTATTGAGCTGCTCTGTCAAATACATTAAGTTTCTCCTGATTCCATGATGCTTTCACCTCCCCTATTACTTCCCTTCTTTCCATTCCTTTCATCTTGTTCATCCTCCATGTCTTTTTGTTCTTCCATATTGGGATCTCAGTGTTGTTCTTCATGCTCTGTTTGGTTCTCCCTTTCAACCCATTACTACGTGTTCCTTGTATCATCTTTCCCTTATGACCTGTTTCCATCTACTAGCATGTGGTCATCATCGTTCCGATGTTTATGTTATTAATTTTCCTGTATCCTTTATCATTCCTCTTTTGTTATCCTTTACCTGGATTAGGCCTTCCTTCCTAAGACAGCTGCTGCTCATGAAGGTTGTTTTGTGTTTTCTTCCCTTTCCTTACCATCTATTTCACACCTGTACTCACGTTCAGAACTGGATTGTCTTTTCTGTCTTGTATGTTCTGTGCTTTATATGTGTTGTGTATCACCTCCTTTTGTGGGTCCCATTCCCACCTACATATTCCCTGGAATCTCTCTCTTTCCCTCAACCTATCTCCTGTTACCCTTACTGGCTGAGTTCGGCAACTCATGTGACTAGTGTATTCTGACTTGGAAGGTCACTGGCTGCACAATGTTTCATTGTGCCAAATCCTTCACTTAATTATATCCTTAGCTGCTAAAATCTGTCGACCTTTGGAGGAGATCATTCAAGTGGGTATGTGAATCACACTATCTGCACGATTTGGCTGTGTCTTCCTCGATTGGGCATCATCTTCCCAGGTGGATTGCACTTGTACTCCATAGAATCCCAAGTCACTTCCCCTGGATGTTTTTGCCTGGGTGAACTACACTTGGTCTATTCCTATACATCAAAGACGCTTCCCCCTGGGTTTTGCATTGGTGGACCACACTTGTTGATCTCTGTATCTTATGCAGTGCACTTCCTCTGGATGTTTCCTACCTGGATGGACTGCACTTGACATAATCCAATCTATCCCAAGGTGCTTCCCTCAGATGTTTTTTGCCCGGGCAGACCTCACTTGGCCATAATATTATATATCTAAGGAGCTTCCCCTGGATGTTTTTTGCCTAGACAGATCTCACTTGTGGATCTTAAAAACTTATGCAAGGCACTTCCACTGTTGTTTTTGTCCCAATGGACCACACTTGTCATAATCTGACATATCCCAAGGTGCTTCCCCTGGATGTTTTTTGCTCGGGCAGACTGCACTAGGCCTATTCACATACACTTTACGGTCCTTTAGCCCTAGTTACTTATGCC